GAAATAGAGAGAGAATGTATCTGAGTCTTTTCGTGAGCTGAGATCCAGCCACTGCACTCCAGCCTGGGCGACAGAGCGAGACTCCGTCTCAAAAAAAAAAAAAGAAAAGAAAATCGCTAATACAAACTTGGTGGTTTTACAGCTCGGGGAACATCACGGATCCTGCTGACATGTGATGTCTCCCCCGGACACCCAGCTTTAAATTTCTCTCTCTTGTGCTCTTTCCCTTTACTTCTCAACCCAGCCGAGACACTTAGGAAATAGAAAAGAACCCACATTAAACATCAGGAGTGGGTTCTCCCGATAATTGTGCCTGGCAGCACCAGTATTTTTTTAAAAAAAGATGAAATCAAACAGAATAGAAAATAGTGTGCACCTCCTGCAGGAAGGCCACTGGTTTGTGCTACACCTGCACGTGAGCCTGTGGTAGACACCATCAGCTGCTCCCAACTTTCCTTTTCCTTTTGTTCCTGAGCACAAGGACTACACTTTCCAGCCTCCTTCATGGTTGGACGTGGCCACAAGACTGAGGATGGACCGGGAGTGGTGAGGGCAAGGCAAGTGCGCCATTTGCAGGCTCAAACCGCAAACCCTCCTGTACTCACTTCCCACGCCCTTGACCCTTTGGCTGGCTGGACACACATGCAGGAAAAGCCCCTGGGGAAATGACAGAGCCACAAGAGGGAAGGAGCCTGGGTCCGTGAATAAAGAAAATTGCCTGCCAAGCTGGAAACCACCATTCCACTGTTGGCCATTCGTGACCGTGTGTATTTGTCATGGCAGTCTAACCTATGCTAAATTAACAAATGAGGTACAAATCATGACATAAAATGTATTGAGAAACCCTGGTTTTAAAAGCCCTTTCCTGCTAGGTTTCCTGTTACAGCTGAAAGCATTCTGATTGAGTCACTGGTTCTTCCTTTGACCTTATAGAAAATTTTTTTTTTTTTTGAGATGGAGTCTTGTTCTATTGCCCAGGCTGGAGTGCAGTGGCGCAATCTCGGCTCACCGCAACCTCCACCTTCTGAGTTCAAGCAATTCTTCTCCCCCAGCCTCCCAAGTAGCCAGGATTACAGGCGTGCACCACTACACCCGGCTAATTTTTTGTATTTTTAGTAGAGACTGGTTTCACCATGTTGGTCATGCTGGTCTCAAACTCCTGACATCAAGTGATCCACCTGCCTTGGCCTCCCAAAGTGCTTGGATTACAGGTGTGAGCCACCATGCCCAGTTGACCCTGTGGATTTAAGGAACAATTCTCCCCTCAACAAGGGTTTTGACATTCCCCTCAGTGGCTTGGCTAGCCCTATCCTTCCTGGCCCTGACACTCTGGAATTGGTCCTGTGTAAATGCTTCCTGGCTGGCCAGGCACAATGGCTCACGCCTATAATCCCACTACTTTAGAAGGACAAGGTGGGAAGATCACTTGAGCTCAGAAGTATGAGACCAGCCTGGGCAACATAGCAAGACCTGATCTCTACTAAAAATTTAAAAAGTTAGGCTGAGCACAGTGGCTGACGCCTAGAATCCCAGCACTTTGGGAGGCCAAGGCAGGTGGATCACGAGGTCAGGAGAGTGAGACCACCCTGGCTAACACGGTGAAACCCTGTCTCTACTGAAAAAATACAAAAAATTAGCTGGGCATGGTGGTGCGTGCCTGTAGTCCCAGCCACTTGGGAGGCTGAGGCAGAAGAATCACTTGAACCTGTGAGGCAGAGGTTGCAGTGAGCCAAGATCGCACCACTGCGCTCCAGCCTGGGCGACAGAGGAAGACTCCGTCTCCAAAATAAATAAATAAATAAATAAATAAAATTTTAAAAGTTAGCCAGGCATGGTGGTATGTGCCTGTGGTCCCAGCTACTTAGGACGTGGAGGTAGGAGAATCATTTGAGCCTGTAAGGTGGAGGCTACAGTGAGCCATGATCACAGCACTGCACTCTAGCCTGAGTGACAGAGCGAGATCCTATCTCAAAATAAAATAAAATAAAATAAAATAAAATTTAAAAGGCCTCCCAGGTTCCTCCGTGTGCCAGCAGTCAGCATATAGTCCCGTTTCTGCCCGTGCCTCACCTGCAGCACCAACGAGTCCAGGGCCACCCTCCGAATTTCCGGGACCGGGTAGGGGGCGAAGGCATCATAGTCCGATTCGGCGTAGAGGCGGAAGCAGACGCCGGGACCCGTGCGGCCTGCCCGGCCCTTCCGCTGCTCTGCGCTGGCCTGGCTGATCCAGAACTCCTGCAGCCGCTGCAGCTTGGCCTGCGGGTCGTAGCTCATCTCCTTCACCTTCCCTGGATGGGAGCAACGAGGAAAGGGAGTCTGTGTGTGGCAGCCACGTGCGGCCGGCCACTCGCCAACACCCTCACTCCTTTATTCTGTTAATGATAACTGAGGGCTTATTCTGAGTCCAACTCTGACATTTTATTTATTCTTTCATTTCCTCACTTACACATCTTTTTTTTTTTTTTTTTTTTGAGACAGGATCTCATTGTCTCCCAGACTGGAGTGCAGTGGTTCAATTACAGCTCACTGCAGCCTCAACCTCCCAGGCTCAAGTGATGATCCTCCTAGCTCAGCCTCCCGAATAGCTGGGACTAAAGGGGCACGCCACCATGCCCAGCTAATTTTTTGTAGAGATGGGGTTTCACAGGCTGATCTCACACTCCTGGGCTCAAGCAATCTGCCTCCCTTAGCCTCCCACAGTGATGGGGTTACAGGCATGGGCCACCGCACCCAGCCTTTCACTCACACATCTTTTCATTTATTTTCCCAAGCCTTTGTTTCTTCAGAGGTTCATTTATCCAATCAATACTTATTAAGCACCTACTATGTACCAGGCACTGCAGTAGGCACTAGGGGAAGAGCAATGAGCTAAACAAAGGCCCTAGTCTCACAGGACTGAACAGAGCACTGTATTTCCTCCAGTAGCAGAACAACCTTTTTTCACATTTCTTTTTTTTTTTTTTTGAGACGGAGTTTCGCTCTTATTGCCCAAGCTGGAGTGCAATGGCGCAATCTCGCTCACTCCGCCTCCCAAGTTCAAGTGATTCTCCTGCCTCAGCCTACCAAGTAGCTGGGATTACAGGAACCCACCACCACGCCCAGGTCATTTTTGTATTTTTAATAGAGACGCGGTTTCACCACGTTGGCCAGGCTGGTCTCGAACTCCTGACTTCAGGTGATCCACCTGCCTCGGCCTCCCAAAGTGCTGGGATTACAGGCATGAGCCACCGCACCTGGCAGGCACTATTTTTCAAATTTCTCTCTCTCTCTTTTTTTTCAAAACAGGGTCTCGCTCTGTTGCCCAGGCTTGAGTGCAGTGGCACAATCACGGCTCACTGCAGCCTCGACTTCCTGGGCTCAGGTGATTCTCCCACATCAGTTTCCTGAGCAGCTGGGACTACAAGCATGCACCACTAAGTCTGGCTAATTTTTGTATTTTTAGTAGAGACGGGGTTTCACCATGTTGGCCAGGCTGGTCTCAAACTCCTAACCTCAAGTGATCTGCCTGCCTTGGCCTCCCAAAGTGCTGGGATTTATAGGCGTGAGCCACTGCGCCCGGCCTAAAATGTCTTAATGGCACATGAAATTATGAACCATTTTACCATCAATGGCATCCCAGAGTCAATATGACCAGGTAGCTGCTAACACTTATTGAGTGATGGCTCTGTGCCAGGCACTAAGGCACCCAAGGGTGTTAAGTCATTTAATCCTCATAACCTGAGGGAGGGCATGTCACTGTCATTTTACAGATAAGCCAACCAATGCATGAAGTGTCAGTGACATGAACCCAGCCACTCACCCAGCACTGAACCCGGCCGGGCAGGCTCCAGTGTCTCCAAACACGATGCTATGCTGACCTTCCAGCGAACATTCAGGTCAGGAAGACAGAAAGTGAACAAACACAGCAGCACATATAAAACAGAATGCTGGACCAGGCGCGGTGGTTCACGCCTGTAATCCCAGCACTTTGGGAGGCCGAGGCAGGCAGATCACTTGAGGTCAAGAGATCGAGACCAGCCTGGCCAACATGGTGAAACCCTGTCTCTACTAAAAATACAAAAATTAGCCAGGCGTGGTGATGCACGTCCGTAAACCCAGCTACTTGGGAGGCTGAAGCAGGAGAATCGCTTGAACTTGGGAGGCAGAGATTGCAATGAGCCAAGATCGCATCACTGCCCTCCGGTCTGGCAACAGAGCGAGACTCCGTCTCAAAAAAAAAACAAAAACAAATTGAATGCCAACCCCCCTCATATGAGAAGCAACACTGGATGGAGAAGGGGGAGGGGATATCTCTTAGAGTGGACAGGATGGGCCTCTCTGATGGGGGGACCTGTATGCAGGCCCTGAAATGAGGTGAGGGCCTCAGCTGTGTGAATACCTGGAGAAAGACAGCTCTCAGCAGAGAGAACAGTAAGTGCAGAGGCCCCAGGGCAGAAGCAGGCTTGGGAGGCGTGAGAAAAATTAAGATGCTGCCACTGGTCCACAGCCCCACATGTCATCTTCCAGCATCCCAATTCCAGAAATCCAAAATCTGAAACGCTCAAAACTCTGAAATGTTTTCAGCGCTAACATGACCCTCCAATAAAATGCTCACTGGAGGATTTCAGAGTTTTCTATTTGACATGCTCAAATAATAAAATAGATACAAATATTCCAAATTCCAAAAAACCTGAAATTCCAAACACTTCTGGTCGCAAGCATTTTGGACATGGGAAAGTCAACTGTACTTCCCACTTCAAGCTGGTGCGTCCCTGCCGCACGTGTACACCTCCGGACCCCACGCTCCTATCTAAGTCCTTGCGGGTGGCGGGTAGGGGCTTGTGGTGGTCTTTACCAGAATCTACTACAAAGCGGATCCCATCAATGGTGACTGAGGTCTCGGCGATGTTGGTGGAGAGGATGCATTTCCGGACTCCAGGTGGCGCCACATCAAATACCTAGGGGAAAGGGAGGGGGTGGTGTCAAGAACTAACTCAGCCCCGACGAACCTATGTGCCCAATTTCCCGTCCACCCCCATGTCAGCAGCTTCCCTGGAACCCTTTCCTCCTCCAGAGACCTCCCTCTCAGAGACAGCTCACCATCCACCCCATCACCTGGGCCATCCTGGGCCCTCCCCCATCCTCAGACGGAGGCAGTCTTGCTCTGTCACCCAGGCTGGAGTGTAGTGGCATGATCTCAGCTCACTGCAACTCCACCTCCTGGGTTCAAGCAATTCTCTTGCCTCAGCCTCCGGAGCAGATGGGATTACAGGCATGTGCCACCATGCCTGGCTAATTTTTGTATTTTAAGGAGAGATGGGGTTTCACCACGTTGGCCAGGCTGGTCTTGAACTCCTGACCTCAGGTGATCCACCCACCTAGGCCTCCCAATGTGCTGGGATTACAGGCATGAACCACCACACCCACCGCCCGATCTGAACATCTTGAACTTTTTTTTTTTTTGAGACAGGGTCTCACTCTTTGGCCTACACTGGAGTGCAGTGGCATGATCACAGCTCACTGCAGCCTTGACCTCTTGAGCTCATGTGATCCTCCCGCATCAGCCTCCCAAGTAGCTGGGATTATAGGCACATGCCACCATGCCCAGCTAGTTTTCTTTTGTTTTGTAGAGACAAGGTCTCACTATGTTGCCTAGGATGGTCTCTAACTCCTGAGCTCGGGTGATCCTCCTGCCTCAGCTTCCTGTGCTGGCATTATATGCGTGAGCCACCGCACCAGGCCATCTTGAACTTTTCTTGAAATCCTTCCCTCCTCCCACAGCCCGGCCCATGCCCTGGTCCAGGCCTCTCCTCACCCACTCTAATCCTGCTCTAGCTTCCCCTCAGATCTCTGGCCTGTACACTCACATGGCAGCCAGAGGGATCTGCTGAAGCACAAACTGGCACTGCCCCTGCTGGGGGTCGAGGTGGGAGGATCGCTTGAGCTCAGGAGTTTGAAACCAGCCTGGGCAACACAGTGAGACCTCTTTGCTACTAAAATTAAAAAAAAAAATTAACGGAGGCCAGGCACGGTGGCTCACACTTGTAATCCCAGCACTTTGGGAGGCTGAGGCAGGCAGATCACTTAAGGTCAGGAGTTCAAGGCCAGCCTGGCCAACATGGTGAAACCCTGTCTCTACTCAACATACAAAAGATCAGCTGGACATGGTGGTGTGCACCTGTAGTCCCAGCTACTCGGGAGGCTGAGACAGGAGAATCGCTTGAACCTGGGAGGCAGAGGTTGCAATGAGCCACAATCACGCCACTGCACTCCAGCCTGGGTGACAGAGTGAGAATCTGTCTTAAAAAAAAAAAAAATTAACGGAGTATAGTGACACACACCTATAGTTGCTACTTGGGGGACTAAGGAGAGGGGATCACTTGAGCCCAAGAAGTCAAGGCTGCAGTGAGCCCCGATTATGCCACTGCACTCCAGCCTGGACAACAGAGCAAGACCCTGTTTCAAAAAAAAAAAATAATTGTTTTGGAACACAGACTTACCCACTCAATTTATGGCTGCTTTCATGCTGCAACAGTGGGGCTGAGTAGCTGTGACAGACAGCCAGCCCATGGTCCATAGCGCTGACAATATCTACTCTGATCCTTTCTAGAAAGTTTGCCGACCTCTGGTTTAGAGCATGGGCTCCAGGGCCAAACTACCTGGGTTCGCAGCCTGGCTCTGCCACTAGGTGGCTACGACTTTGCACAAGTGCAGCCCCCAAGCCCTGCGTCTGTGGAGTTACACAAGTCCTGTGTGCAGCCACCCCTGACTCATGCAGACCCCTCGCCTGCCCCACTTGGGCTTCCTGTGATACCTTGTCCTGGTCGGCCACAGACAGGGCGCTGTGCAGGGGCAGCACCACCCAGCGCTGGGTGTGGCTGGCATAGGTCTGGGCGGCCTCCAGCACGGTGCTGATCTCTGCCATGCCGCTGAGGAAGACGAGGAGGTCACCCCGCTCCTCAGGTGGGTACTTGTGGTCAATGGACTCCAGTACCCTCAGGAAAGGGCGTGGGTCCAGCTTCTCCGACTTGGACGTGGTTGGCTCCGCCTCCTGTGGCTGGTACATGACCTGAGAGGAGACAGCCCCAGGTAGAAGCACACCCTGTCCCTTCAGCTCAGAGCAATGGGCTGGGGAGGCTGCAGGCTGACAGGGGAGAGCCGGTTGACAGAGAAGACACAGTGCAACAGGTACAGGCTGGTGGGCAACTCTGTTCCATGTGGTCATTCAGGGATCCAGGCTCCTCCTTTCTCATTAGTCTACCATCTAACTAGGCAGGATTTCTCAAAGTCAGCAAGATTGACATTGCAGTCTGGACAATTCCTTGTTGTGGGGGCTGTCCTGTGCATTGTAGGATATTTAGCAGCATCCTTGGCCCCTACCCACTAGATGCTAGTAGTCTTCTCCTCTGGTTGTGACTATTAAAAATGTCTCCAGATATTGCCACATGTTCACTGGGGGGCAAAACCACCCCTAATTGAGAAACAGGTGATAGACAGCACACTGCAGTTAGATAATAATTTCTGAAGGATGTAATAAAAAGACCAAAGTAACAAAGCAACTGCAAGGCTTGTGGGGTGCTGGTAATGTCTGACTTTTCTTTTTTTTTTTTTTTTTTTGAGACGGAAGTCTCGCTGTGTCTCCCAGGCTTGGAGTGCAGTGGCGCGATCTCGGCTCACTGCAAGCTCCGCCTCCCGGGTTCACGCCATTCTCCCCGCTCAGCCTCCCGAGTAGCTGAGACTACAGGCGCCGCCAAACGCCCGGCTAGTTTTTTGTATTTTTAGTAGAGACGGGGTTTCACCGTGTTAGCCAAGATGGTCTCGATCTCCTGACCTCGTGATCCGCCCCGCCTCGGCCTCCCCAAAGTGCTGGGATTACAGGCTTGAGCCAACCGCGCCCGGCCTAATGTCTTGACTTTTCTAAACCTGGGTGCTAGCTACGTAGATGTATTTAAACTGGGAAAACTAATTGAGCTATATATTTACAATGCATGCATTCTCTTGTGTTTAGAGTAGGCTTCAACAAGAAAAAAATTCTAGGTGATGGAACCAGGATGAAAACCCTAGAAATCAGGTTGGTTGGATTGACCAGGAGAGGACCTGAGCCTGAGCCAGGTTGGCTGGCTGATTTCCAGGCATAGCTGGCTCACACCCTGTAAATCCTAGCTCTTTGGGAGGCCAAGACGGGAGGATTGCTTGATCTCTAGGCAGACAACATAGCCAACACACTCATCTCTACTAAAAAAAAACAACCAAACCTAGAAAACATTTTCTCAGGAACCAGCCTCAATCTCTTTGTTTTTTTTTTTTTCTTTTTTTTGACAGACAGGGTCTCCGCCTTGTCACCCAAGCTGAGTACATGGCCATGTGATCCGGCTCACTGCAGCTCCACTCCCCAGTGTCACAGCAATTCCTCACTCAGGCCTCCTGAGTACTGGGATTACAGGGGTGCACCACCACTGAGCATAATTTTGCATTCTCTACGTAGAGACCAAGGTTTGTTACCCAGTTGGCCAGGCCTGGCTCCGAACTCCTACCTCAGTGATCCACCTGCCTCAAGCCTCCCAAAGAGCTGGATTATAGCGCATGAACACCGCACCCGGCTGGCACTCTCTCTCCTTCCTCTTTCTTTTTTTTTGAGATGGGCTTTGCCTCCTTCCCAGGGTACAGTGCAGTGGCATGATTCAGCCTCCTGGCAACCCTCCTGCCCCAGCGCTCAAGCAAATCTCCCTGCCTCAACCTCCCAAGGTAGCTTTAGGATTACAGCGCACATGCGCACCACATGCCCAGCTAATTTTTGTATTTTTAGTAGAGAT